AAAACTTGAAGATAAAATTCATATCTTCAAGCGACAGCTGTAATGTTCTGTCTATTAAATGACATTGGTGTAAGCAAAAGTCTGTAGTTACATAAACATTAGAAGATCAAAAAGTTTGAACATTTCAAGAATATGAATTTATGATTTCTGCATGATTGAATAATGCCAAAACTGTCAAAATGTATTTATATTATTTGATGATTGCTGTAAAGATTGAAAAATACCAACTATTAAGAATTTAAAACAACAAAATTGCAAACAATTTCTATTGACATATAAAGATGCATTTGTTATTATATTGTTTTATTATTTCTGCATGAATGAAAAATTTCAAAACTGTCAAAATGCATTTGTTATTATAATTTTATGATTCCTTTAATGATTGAAAAATACCAAAACTGCCTAAATGCATTTAATATTATTTATAATTCCTGTATGATTGAAAAATGTCAAAGTTTCAAAATATATTAAGAATTAATATTRATTTATGATTTCTGTAAGATTATCTAAGGAAGTTTTATTTTGGTAAATAACCACAAGAATTCAAAATAAGTGGTTCTCTTTACATATAATTATATACACCTACTTGCGAAAACGTTGTCATAAAAAAATAGGACATTTGTATTTTAGTAAAAAGGAATAAATTAAAAACACAAAGGAAGATCACTGAGGCTGAACGCTTTATTTTGTCTTGTTTTAATTTATTCCTTTTTGCTAAATTCGAATGTTCTATTTTCTATGACAACGTTTCTGCAAGTAGGTGTATATCACTGATTTGCATCAACAAAGCTGAAGAGAAAAAGTTTGATAATTATTTAATGTAGTGCCATGGAATTTTTTTGTTAGCAAAAATAAATTAGTCTTGACAAATGTACATGTACTAAAAATCTGACCAATGTGTCTTGCATCAGTACATCTTCATCCAACATGCATACCTTTTGGGAGCTCCGCTATTAGGTTTTACCTAATTTTTATATTAAACATTTCTATCCTACAGAGATTGAAAGTATCAGATAAATCTTGGTTACTTGGCCATCGCTTGGTTAAAAAAACCCTTCGGTATATATAGTAGTGATACCCAAGACATTCGTAAATTCAGCCAGTGACTTGATATATACTGCTACTGACATACTAGGGGCCGACTAGTGACTACCGAAACACGACAGCGGGAATCTCCCATGTTTTCATAGTGTCATCCATAAGAATTAGCAAATGAAATACATCAAACGTGTACGTACATTTATATAAAAACACAATGTTAACTCAGTGCTACAGGTAAACTAAGTACATAGTTACAGGTCTAATGAAACTATAATTACAGTGGCCCAAGCAAATGGCCGCATACACAATGTACGCTCAGTGCTACAGGTAAACTAAGTACCCAGGCAACACTGCCATTTACAGGCCTAAAAAACTATAATAACGTACAATTACACTGACCCAAGCAAATGGACGCATACACAATGCACGCTCAGTGCTACAGGTAAACTAAGTACCCAGGCAACACTGCCATTTACAGGCCTAAAAAACTATTATAACGTACAATTACAGTGGCCCAAGCAAATGGACGCATATACAATGTACGCTCAGTGCTACAGGTAAACTAAGTACCCAGGCACTATGCCTATCGCTTAAAATACTATAATAACGTACAATTACAATGACCCAAGAAAATGGGTACAATCTATGTACCGTGCACTGTCTTCTCTCTACATCTCAGGGATGAACTGATTTGGAAAACATCATGAATTGAAATTAGCTTCTTGGCCATACAAACTTCCTTAAGTTCAAGTACTTATGAAGGAGGGAACGGATTATCTTTCAAATATCTGTCTTCAAAGACGGAAAAAATTAAATTAGTTTAAAATATTTTAGCAGATTTCTAATTTGTATAGGAAATCGCACGACCTTGAGTACAATTTGGAATTAATAGTCACGAGTAATGTTTTGAAAGTTCTCGTAATTGCACGAGCCCGTTTATAGTACATTCAACTTAATTAAGGAGTACAATTAACGCTGTAATTGTACTCCTCTCGACCAATCAGAATGTATTATTTTGTTGAATGTACTATAACATAACTAATTCTCTGTCTGGTAATTTTCATACCAGTTAATCATATTTCATTACGCGTTGAACTTTACATTCTGATTGGCTAATGCATTTGATTTTCACAATCACTGCAACTTACAGGTTACTGCAAACAATTTGCTAGCCCATTATTTATTTATATCTGTAGATTGATTGCGCTAAACTGATTTATTATCCATTCATATAAAATCCCCGGTAACATTATCATGAACTTTTATTCAATTCTGTTTGAAAAATAAAAATCGTTCTTTTTCAAATTGAAACAAGGCAAAACAAAAAATCATTGAATTCTGTTTTTGTGATATCTGAATAATCAACGTCTCGGCAAGTGAGATAACCCTCSGGCCTTGGCTGATTAATTATACTTACTTCAACCTATTATTTCGGATATCACAAAAACTACGTCCCGTTATTGTCAAATGTAAGAAATACACCAGGTCTGTGAGTCCCTGTTCTACTTAGCRTTAAACTGAATAATAGAGTGAAAACAGTAGAGTGAAAACTCTAAAAAATTACAAACCAAATAGTACTAAACAATGCGTTGCTATTTCAAAACAAAATTTCATCAGTAGAAAAGATATGTTTATAAATATGTCTGAATGAACATGTTTTTATAATAAATCGCAGCC